CTGGCAGGAAAGCCCAGACACGGGCGGGCCGCCCATGATGACAGACACACAGGGAGCGAGTCTCCATCCAACCCCTCGCCCCACTCACCTTGTGTCAGAGTCCAGGGCGCGAGGCTGCTCCGGCTGCCCACCTGGGCAGGTGAGACACAGCCAACCCCTCTGTGCCCCGTTCCCAAGTGGGCCGGGAGCCAGGTGCAGCCCGGGCCCGCCCCCGGCCAGCTCACAAGACACCAGGAACCCCGACCCATTCTGCAATGCCGGCGAGGAAATAAACTCCAACACCCTCCACAGCTTATCAGTGGCCACAGCCAAGAATGGGGCCAGAGTGATAGATAGCTCAACGGGGAGGGCGTGTGCCTTGCACGTGGTTGACCTGGGTTCGATTCCCGGCATCCCAGAGGGTCCCTTGAGCACCGCCAGGAGGGGATTCCTGAGTGCTGAGCCCGGAGGAACCCCTGAGCATTGTTGAGTGTGTCCCATAATAATAATAATAATAATAATAATAATAATAATAATAATGGGCTGGAGCAATAGCACAGCGGTAGGGCGTTTGCCTTGCACACTGCCGGACCAGCCAAGCAGGGTTCGATTCCTCCGCCCCTCTCGGAGAGCCCGGCAAGTTCCTGAGAGTATCTCGCCCCTCACGCCCGCACGGCAAAGCCTGGCAAGCTCCCCGTGGCATCTTCGAGATGCCAAACGTAGTCACAACAAGTCTCACGATGGAGACGTTTACTGGACCCTCTCGAGCAAATCGATGAACAATGGGAGGACAGTGCTACAATAATAATAATAATAATAATAATAATAATAATAAGAAGAAGAAGAAGAAGAAGAAGAAGAAGAAGAAAAGAAGAAGAAGAAGAAGAAGAAAAGAAGAAGAAGAAGAAGAAGAAAAGAAGAAGAAGAAGAAGAAGAAAAGAAGAAGAAGAAGAAGAAGAGGAAGAGGAAGAAGAAGAAGAAGGAGAAGAAGAAGAAGAAGAAGAAGAAAAGAAGAAGAAGAAGAAGAAAAGAAGAAGAAGAAGAAGAAGAAAAGAAGAAGAAGAAGAAGAAGAAGAAGAAGAAAGAAGAAGAAGAAGAAGAAGAAGAAGAAGAAGAAGAAGAAGAAGAAGAGGAAGAGGAAGAAGAAGAAGAAGGAGAAGAAGAAGAAGAAGAAGAAGAAAAGAAGAAGAAGAAGAAGAAAAGAAGAAGAAGAAGAAAAGAAGAAGAAGAAGAAGAAGAAGAGGAAGAGGAAGAAGAAGAAGAAGGAGAAGAAGAAGAAGAAGAGAAGAAGAAGAAAAGAAGAAGAAGAAGAAGAAGAAGAAGAAGAAGAAGAAGAAGAAAAGAAGAAGAAAGAAGAAGAAGAGGAAGAGGAAGAAGAAGGAGAGAAGAAGAAAAGAAGAAGAAGAAGAGAAGAAGAAGAAGAAGAAGAAGAAGAAGAAGAAGAAGAAGAAGAAGAAGAAGAAGAAGAAGAAGAAGAAAATAGAAAACAGAGTTTTTAAAAAAAATTCTGCAAGGGGCTGGAGCACAGGGGGAGGGTGTTCGACTTGCACGCGGCTGACCCGGGTTCGATTCCCAGCATCCCACAGGATCCCTCGAGCACCGTCAGGAGTCATTCCTGAGTGCAGAGCCAGGAGAACCCCTGAGCATTGTTGGGTGTGTCCCAAAATAATAATAATAATAATAATAATAATAATAATAAAATAGAAAACACAGAGTTTTGTTTTGTTTTTTAAAGTCTGCAAGGGGCTGGAACGATAGCACAGTGGGGAGGGCATTTGCCTTGCATGTGGCCGACCTGGGTTCGATTCCTAGAATCCCATAGGGTCCCCCAAGCAGCACCAGGAGTCATTCCTGAGTGCAGAGCCAGGAGGAACCCCTAAGTATCTCTGGGTGTGACCCAAACAGCAAAAAAAAAAAAAAAAGAAAAGAAAAAAAAGACTGGGGTCGGAGGGTGGAGACTCAGCGGGACCAGCTGTGTGTCCTTCCCGACTTCGGTTTGGGGGCCAACGCTTGCCTGCTCAGAGCTGACCCCGCGTCTGAGCTCAAGGCCACCCGTCCACCTCCCTGCGGGACAGCCAGAACCATGGCCAGCTCTCCACCAGCCCCAGTGCCTTGTGGCCCGGGGGATGTTTTGTTGACTGGTTCTGGGCGTGCCAGGAAGAGCTGACGCACTGCTTTGTCAGAACCGTGTCCCTCTTGTCCGCTGCGGGTTCATGGTCAACACCCAGAAAGTCCAGCAGGGGGTTTCAGCCGCCAAGACCCAGCAGACCAGCTCTGGGCACGTAAGAGCCCGAGAACCAGAGATGTTTGTTCGGTTGTGCGGATTAAACAGCCCAGGGGGCTCCGTTTAGCTGAGCAGCTGCTGCCAAGAGACCAGATTCCATCTTCCTAGTGGACCCAGGTACCGAGCATCCCTCAGGCCTCGTTGCCGGGGCAACGGGACGGGGCAACAAGAAAGGGAAGGTCCGGGTGATGATGCCCAATGTAGAGTTGGAGCACTGAGGCAGGGTTGCGTTTCCCTGCCAATGGCCGGGCGGGACCAGGGAGTGCGGCTTTCCCGCCAAACCACTCGGAAGCTCTTTTGGGGTCTCTGCACCCGCATTCTCTCTCTGTCTCTCCCTCTCTCCTGTCTCTCTCCTCTCTGTCTCTTTCTCTGTCTCTCTTCTCTCTCTCTGTCTCTATCTCCTCTCTGCCTCCTCTCTCTGTCTCACTTCTCTCTGTCTCTGTCTCCGTCTGTCTCTCACCTCTCTTTATCTCTCTCTGTCTCTCTGTCTCTTTCTGTCTCTCTCTTATTTCTCTTTCTCTCTCTGTCTCTATCTTTCTCCCTCTCTTTCTTTCTTTGTCTTTCTGTCTCTCTCTAAGTCTCTTCCTCTCTGCCTGTCACTGTCTCTCTACCCCTCCCTTTCTCTCTCTTTCTGTCTGTCTGTCTCTGTCTCTCTTCTCTTTGTCTCTCTGTCTCTATCTCCTCTCTGCCTCCTCTCTCTGTCTCACTTCTCTCTGTCTCTGTCTCCGTCTGTCTCTCACCTCTCTTTATCTCTCTCTGTCTCTCTGTCTCTTTCTGTCTCTCTCTTATTTCTCTTTCTCTCTCTGTCTCTCTCTATCTTTCTCCCTCTCTTTCTCTCTTTGTCTCTCTATCTCTCTCTAAGTCTCTTCCTCTCGTTCTCTGCCTGTCACTGTCTCTCTACCCCTCCCTTTCTCTCTCTTTCTGTCTGTCTGTCTCTGTCTCTCTTCTCTTTGTCTCTCTCTCTTTATCTCTCTGTCTCTCTCTCCTCTCTCTGTCTCACTTCTCTCTGTCTCTGTCTCCGTCTGTCTCTCACCTCTTTTTATCTCTCTCTGTCTCTCTGTCTCTTTCTGTTTCTCTCTTATTTCTCTTTCTCTCTCTGTCCCTCTCTATCTTTCTCCCTCTCTTTCTTTCTTTGTCTCTCTGTCTCTCTCTCTAAAAGTCTCTTCCTCTCGTTCTCTGCCTATCACTGTCTCTCTACCCCTCCCTTTCTCTCTCTTTCTGTCTGTCTGTCTCTGTCTCTATTCTCTTTGTCTCTCTCTCTCTTTATCTCTCTGTCTCTCTCTCTCCTCTCTCTGTCTCACTTCTCTCTGTCTCTGTCTCCGTCTGTCTCTCACCTCTCTTTATCTCTCTCTGTCTCTCTGTCTCTTTCTGTTTCTCTCTTATTTCTCTTTCTCTCTCTGTCTCTCTCTATCTTTCTCCCTCTCTTTCTTTCTTTGTCTCTCTGTCTCTCTCTAAGTCTCTTCCTCTCGTTCTCTGCCTGTCACTGTCTCTCTACCCCTCCCTTTCTCTCTCTTTCTGTCTGTCTCTGTCTCTCTTCTCTTTGTCCCTCTCTCTTTCTCTCTCTGTCTCTCTTTTTCTCTCTGTCTCTCTCTTACTCTCTTTCTATCTTTCTCTGTCTCTCTCTGTCTCTCTCTCCTCTCTACCTCCTCTCTCTGTCTCTCTGTCTCACTTCTCTCTGTCTGTCTCCGTCTGTCTCTCACCTCTCTTTATCACTCTCTGGCTCTTTCTGTTTCTCTCTTCTTTGTCTCTCTCTCTGTCTGTCTCTCTTCTCTCTGTCTCACTCTCTCCCCTCTCTTTATCTCTCTCCATTTCTCTCTCTCTATCTCTCTTCCTCTCTTCCTCTGTCTCTCTGTCTCTCTCTGTCTCTCTTTCTAGCTCTCTTCCTCTCTTTCTCTGTCTATCTCTGTCTCTCCACCCCCCCTTTCTCTTTCTCTTTCTGTCTCTCTGTCTGTCTCTGTGTCTCTCTTCTCTTTGCCTCTCTTTCTCTCTCTGTCTCTCTTTCTCTCTCTGTCTCTCTCTTCCTCTCTTTCTATCTTTCTCTGTCTCTCTCTCTACCCCTCCCTTTCTCTCTCTTTCTGTCTCTCTGTCTCTGTCTGTCTCTCTGTCTTTCTCTATTTGTCTCTCTCTCTTTCTCTCTCTTTCTCTCTGTGTCTCTCTCTATCTCTCTTCCTCTCTTTCTCTATCTCGGTCTCTCTACCTTTCCCTTTCTCTCTCTCTTTCTATCTCTCTGTCTGTCTCTGTCTGTCTGTCTCTGTCTCTCTCTTCTCTTTGTCTGTCTCTCTCTCTTTCTCTCTATCTCTCTTCCCCTCTTTCTCTGTCTCTCTCTGTCTCTCTATCTCTTTCTCTCTCTCTTTCTGTCTCTCTGTCTCTCTTCTCTCTGTCTCTCTGTCTCTCTCTCTCTCTCTCTCTCTCTCTTTTCCCTCCACCCCAAATTCTTCCCAGCATGACTGCATTTTTCAGAGCTGTGGAACAGGTTCAGAGATCACGAGTCAGGGCACTAGTTGGCTTTCGCTCATCACAGGTCAGCTGCCCGTGGCTGGGTTCCGTGTCAGCTGCTCTGACACTTGTGGCTCTTAGGTCCACGTACCGTCGCTCGGTGCCTCCGATTTGGGGGCAGAGCCTTCCTCCGCCCCTCCTGCCTCATCTTCATCTGAAACTCCCTCTCATCTCCCAGGGGGAGCTGAAAGAAAAAAGACAAAAAAAAAACATGCAAAGACAGAAACACCATTTGGGGGGCATGGATGTGGTGCAGTGGGAAAGCATTTCTGTGGATGAAGTGGAATTCTGCTTCCTGTTTGGACAAAACCGAACACGGGGTGACGTTTTCTGTTTGCACAGTTTCCCCCCCACCTCGTATGAAACACACTCGGTCCTACTGGGCCCCTGAGGGGCATATGGTGGCCCCAGACTCCAAGTGCCTGGTTCTGTACAAAGTTCGTCGGACCTGAACTGGGCCACGGGCCTCTGTGCCTGCAGGAGCTGGGGGTATCAGCTGCCCACGCCTGGCCTTTCACCGTGTCATGAGCCTCAAAGCAGTGACTGCCACCATGATGGATTCTATGGAGTGAGGAATAAGATGTATCCCTAATCATTAAGAGAGAGAGAGAGAGAGAGAGAGAAAGGGAGTAATGACTGGCCACAGGGGTCCCCAGTGGGAAGCTGGTCACTGAGGGCCGAGGGGGGTGGCGGTCAGGGAAGGGACCGCTACGGCAGTGACACAGTGAAGGGGGTCACTGTGGATGATGACGGATGCTGGAAGGAGGGAAAGTGATTAAAAATAGAACTCTCCCAGGGGGTGTGTGCTGAGAGTAGACCAAGGACCCAATGGAATGGCCTCTCAGTGTCTGTATTGCAAACCACGATGCCCCAAAGTTGAGAGAGAGTCTGGGGGAGATTGTCTGCCCTGGAGGCAGGGGGAGGGGTGGGACGGGGGGATACTGGGGACATTGGGGGCGGGGAATGGGCACTGGTGGAGGGATGGGGTTCCATCATGGTATGACTGACACTCAAATAGGAAAGCTTGTAACTGTGTCTCACAGTGATTCAATATAGTAAAATAACATAATAGGAGACAGACACCCAAGGACAGTAGAGACCAGGGCCAGAAAGATTGCCCCATGGTTGGCAGCCGCCTCCTGAGCTGGGGGAGAAGGCAGCTGGGATGCAGAAGGGGTCACTGAGTCAGGGAGGGTTGGAGGGGTCGCTCGGGACGGGAGATGTGTGCTGAGAGTAGATCAAGGACCCAACGTGATGTATATTGGATCTGTATTGATCTATATTGATCTCAGTGTCTGTATTGCAAACCCTGATGCCCCAAAGTCGAGGGAGAGGATGGGGGAGATTGTCTGCCCTGGAGGCAGGGGGAGGGGTGGGATGTGGGGATACTGGGGATATCGGTGGTGGGGGATGTGCACTGGTGGAGGGATGGGGGTTTCATCATTGTATGACTGAAACTCAAACATGAAGCTTTTGTAACTGCATCTCACGGTGATTCAATAATTTTTTTTTAAGACTGGAAGAAAAACTTCCTCAGGAACAACACTGGAAACCACAGTGCTTAAAGGGAAGGGGGAAAGGGAGGGAAGAGAAAGCAAAAAGAAAGAACTGCCTACCACAGGACAGGTCAAGAAGGACATGGGGACGTGGGTGGAGGGAAGTTGACACTGGTGAAGAAAGAGACGCGTGTTGGAACATGGTAGGACTGAAACTCAAGTCATGAATTGCATTTTCATTCATGGTGATTCAATAAAAAAAAACTATAGAAAGGAAGGATGGGAGGAAGGAAGGAAGGAAGGAAGGAAGGAAGGGGGGAGGAAAAGAAGGAAGGGAAGGAGCGTGGGATAATGGAAAGGAAGGAACGAGGGAGGGAGGAAGGAAGGAAAGAAGGAAGGAAGGAAGGAAGGGAAGGGAAGGAAGAAAAGAAGGAAAGAAGGGAAGGAAGGAAGGAAGGAAGGGAAGGAAGGGACGGAAGAAAGGGAAGGAAGGGAAGGAAGGAAGGAAGGAAGGAAGGGAAGGAAGGGACGGAAGAAAGGGAGGGAGGGTAGGAAGGGAAGGAAGGGAAGGAAGAAAGGAAGCGAAGGATGGAAGGAAAGAAGGAAGAAATGAAGGGAAGAAAGGAAGGAGGAAAGAAAGAAAGAAAGAAAAAAGAAAGGAAGGAAAGAATGGAAGGAGGAAAGAAAGACAGAAAGAAAGAAAGGAAGGAAAGAATGGAAGGAGGAAAGAAAGACAGAAAGAAAGAAAGGAAGGAAGGAAGGAATGGAAGGAGGAAAGAAAGAAAGAAAAAAGAAAAAAGAAAGGAAGGAAAGAAAGGAAAAAAGAAAGGAAGGAATGTAAGGAAGGAATGGAAGGAGGAAAGAAAGACAGAAAGGAAGGAAGGAAGAAAGAGAAAGAAAGAAAGAAAGAAAGAAAAGAAAGAAAGAAAGAAGGAAGAAAGGAAAGGAAAGGAAAGAAAGAAAGAAATCTCCCTTATCCCAGCTGGTCTTGGCTTGTAGGCAGAGTCTGAATTAGGCTTTTATCTCCGGGGGACCCTGCGGTGTCACCTGACCCATGACTAATTACTCAGAAGAGTAAAGTCCAGCTCCATCTCCAGCTCTTGCAGAACTTGGTGCTGAAGTGAAGGAAGGGGAAGTAGGTTCCTGAACATTTTCTTTACAAAAGATTTGTTTTTTTCTTTGTCTTTTTGGGTTCACACCCAGCGATGCACAGGGGTTATTCCTGCCTCTGCACTCAGGAATGACTCCTGGCGGTGCTCAGGGGACCCTATGGGGTGCTGGGAATCGAACCCGGGTCCGTCACAGTGCAAGGCAAACGCCCTAACCACTGTGCTATGGCTCCAGCCACCCCAGCTAGTGATCCACTTAAATCGTTGTGGTGAATATTGTAGTTCTAATATTTCTAGCAATGTCATTTTGGGTTATTTGTGGGTTTTTTGTGTGGGGGTGGAGGGGGAGCTTTTTGGGTCACACCTGGCAATGCATAGAGATTACTCCTGGCTTATGCACTCAGGAATCACTTCTGGCGGTGCTCAAGGAACCAGGGCAAGGTGTGAGTAGGCCATTTGCCTTGCACAAGGTCGACCTGGGTTCGACTCCTCCCGCCCCTCTCAGAGAACCTGGCAAGCTACCGAGAATATCTCGCCCGCCCGCACGGCCAAGCCTGGCAAGCTCCCCGTGACGCATTCGATATGCCAACAACAGCAACAAGTCTCACAATTTGTTGTGAGACGTTACTGGAGCCCGCGTGAGCCGATCGATGAACAACGGGAGGACGGTGCTACAGTGCTACTAGCTGGGGAAAAAAGAAGGTAAGACACCTTGAATCGAATCCTGCCCTGGAGCGGGGTCTCCTAGTCAACTGGAGGAACGTCTATAGAGGAGATTTGGTCCTTGAGTTCTCCTCTGGAGGAGTGACCTTTCCCTCTCTTGGCTGATTGGTTAATGTTCAACCCCACCTTTGAATCCCCACTGCATGACACACCAGGCTAAGAGTGGGCTGGGGGGAGCCAGAAGGAGAGTTTTCTTTTCTGTTTTGCTTTTTGGGTCCCACCCGGCGACGCTCAGGGCTGACTCCTGGCTCTGCACTCAGGAGTGACTCCTGGCGGTGCTCGGGGGGCCCTATGGGATGCTGGGGAATCGAACCCGGGTCAGCCGCGTGCAAGGCAAACGCCCTCCCCGCTGGGCTATTGCTCTAGCCCCTCTTCCTTCCTTCCTTCCTTCCTTCCTTCCTTCCTTCCTTCCTTCCTTCCTTCCTTCTTCCCTTCCTTCCTTCCTTCCTTCTTCCTTCCTTCCTTCCTTCCTTCCTTCCTTCCTTCTTTCCTTCCTTCCTCTATCCCTCCCTCTCTTCCTTCCTTCCTCCCTCCCTCCTTCTCTTTCTTTCTTTCTTTCTTTCTTTCTTTCTTTCTTTCTTTCTTTCTTTCCTTCTTTCTTCCTCTCTCTCTCCTTTTCTTTCTTTCTTTCTTTCTTTCTTTCTTTCTTTCTTTCTTTCTTTCTTTCTTTTTATTTGTTTTTGGGGTTCTACCCGGCGATGCTCAGGGGTCCCTCCTGGCTCTGCACTCAGGAATGACTCCTGGCAGTGCTCGGGGGACCCCAGGGGATGCTGGGAATCGAACTCGGGTAGGCCGCATGCAAGGCAAACGCCCTCCCCACTGGGCTCTATCGCTCCAGCCCCCTAAATACACAAATTTTTTTGTAGGAGTACTGCTATTTATTCAGCCACTGATTAGCTGATTGAATTGGGCATGAACTCCACCTTAATTTTTTTTAAAATTTTGTTTATTTATTTTTCTTGCCCCCACGGCAAAGCCTGGCAAACTCCCCGTGACGTATTCGATATGCCAAACACAGTAACAACCAAGTCTCACAATGGAGACGTTACTGGGCCCGCTCGAGCAAATCGATGAACAACGGGAGGACCGTGACCGTGACCGATTTTTCTTTTTATATTTATTTATTGAATCACTGTGGGAAAAGTTACTAAGCTTTCAGGTTTAAGTCTCGGTCAGACAATGATCTAACCCCTTTCCCTTCACCAGTACTCACTTTTCACCACCAAGAACCCCAGTATACCCCCCCTCCCACCCCTCCAAATGCCTGTGAGGCAGATGATTTCTATTTAACTCTTCTCTACATTGATTACATTCATCATTTCGACAAAAGATGCACCATGATTGTTTAGAATTTCCCCCCAAACAATCAGAATTGCTGAAAAGGCATTGAATACACAATTTTTGACTACTATTGTGATACTGGTCCCTTGTCCACCCTAACTGTCCTTTGCGTCCCCCACAAACACACTTGTGGCAAGCGTCCAACTACGGACCAGTCCTCCTGGGCCCTGCGTTCCCTGATGGCTGGCACTTTGATGTCTGCAAACAACAACAAGAACAACAAGAACAACAACAACTGTAGCACTGTCCTCCCGTTGTTCATCGATTTGCTCGAGCGGGCCCAGTAACGTCTCCATTGGAGACTTTGTTGTGACTGTGTCTGGCATATCGAATACATCACTGGGAGCTTGCCAGGCTCTGCCGTGCGGGCGAGATACTCTCGCTAGCTTGCCGGGCTCTCCGAGAGGGGCGGAGGAATCGAACCCGGCTCGGCCGGGCTGGCTGCGTGCAAGGCAAACGCCCTACCGCTGTGCTATCGCTCCAGCCCAGTTCTCAGTCTGATAACAACAACAACAACAAAAACGAAACAAAAACCAACAACCCCCAGGATCTCAAACCAGAGAAGCCGCCATGGTAGCAATGAGTCTTGTAGCAGACGCCGGATTAAGTCGAGCTGAGTTGCTGGACTGGCCACGCGAGTTCGGGTCTCAGGACTGAGCCTCTTCCCGGACTCCGGCTGAACTGCAGGCAGCGTTGGGCGCAGGGCCACGCTTGGGGTGTCAACCCAGATGTGTTCAAGACTTGGCTGGTGGCCAGCGGCTTTGAGGAAGATGCCCGGCAGAGCCAAGGCTCTGTGCCAGGTCTGGAAAGCCACCCTGAGACAGGTGAGCGCCGGGAACCACCCCCACCTCCGCCCAATGCCTTGTTTTATCCCCAGGGACTTTGGGGCTCCATCGCTGGTTGTGCAGAGGCCGCAGGTTGTGAGTGTGTCGAGGGCCAGCATGGAGCTCAGGTAAGGGGGTCCTGGCCAGTGCCCTGGGCAGGGGCGTGAAGGCTCCCACTGGGGTCCCTGTGGGTAGAAGGAGCCCCCGGCTGCCTCCCCCTGCTGGGGCTCTGCAGAGAGACTCTGTCAGCATCAGGGTCACCCTCCACCAAGGGGCGCGTGTGGACAGGCAAGTCCTGCTCCAGCGCCTGGTTCTGTTCCCGGTCGTCCCCAAAACGAACCCAACTGGGGCCGACGCAGGCCATTTCCTGGCGTGGAACAGAGGCAGAGCCACTCGGCAATCATTGGCAAAAGTGTCCAAGTTATCTCTCCCCCCATTACATGGGGTCTAGGGGGGTCCTGGGCAAAGAGTGACCGTCTCTCACGCCTCTGTCATTTCCGAGGTGCTGGTTGTGCTCCCATCCGTCTCTCTCTCCCTCTCCCTGTCTCCCTCGTCTCTCTCCCTTTCCCACTCTCTCCCTCTTTCCCTCCCTCTCTCTCCTCCTTTCCCTCCCTCTCACTCCCTCTCTTTCTCTCTACCGTCTCTCAATCCCTCTCCCTCTCTCTCCCTCTCTCCCTCTGCCTGTCACTCTCTCTCCCTCTCCCTCTCCCTCCATCTCTCATTCTCTCTCCCTCTCTCTCTCTCCCTCTCTCTTCCTCCCTGTCCACCCCATCTCACCCTTTCCTTCCTTTCTCTTCCTTTCTCTCCTTCCCTCTCTCCCTCTCTTTCTCCCTCTCCCTCTCTCTCCCTTTCTCCCTTCCTCTTCCTCTCTCCCTCTCTCTGTCTCCTTCTCTCTCTCCACCCTCTCTCCATCCCTCTCCCTCTCTCTCCCTCTCTCCCTCTGCCTGTCACTCTCTCTCCCTCTCCCTCCCTCTCTTATTCTATTTCCCTCTCTCTCCCTCTCTCTTCCTTCCTGTCTACCCCTATCTCACTCTCTACCTCCCTCTCTCTTCCTTTCTCTCCCTCCCTCTCTCCCTCTCTTTCTCCTTCTCCCTCTCTCTCCTTTTCTCCCTCCCTCTCCCTCTCTCCCTCTCCCCCTCCCTCTGTCTCCTCTCTCTCCACCCTCTCTCCCTCCCTCTCTCCCTCTCTCTCCCTCTCCCTCTCGCTCCCTCTCTCACTCTCTTTCCCCCCTCTCTCCCTATCTCTTCCTCCCTGTCCACCCCCTCTCTCCCTCTCTTCCTCCCTCTCTCCCTTCCTCTCTTCCTCTCTCCTGCTCTCTCTCCCTAACTCTTTCTCCCTTGCTAACTCTCTCATTCTCTCCCTTCTCTCTCTCTCTCTCTCTCTCTCTCTCTCTCTCTCTCCCCCTATCTCTTCCTCCCTGTCTCCCCATCTCTCCCTATCCTCTCTCTCTCTCCCTCTCCCTCCCTCTCCCTGTGTAGGGCAGGACAGCCTGCAGCCTCACCCTCTCTCTGCTTTCCAGAAACGGTCAGATCTTGCTGAGCTGGGCGTGTCTTCTCTGGCCTGCCAGCCTCTGCTTGGGGCCCACTCAGCCCAAGCCCAACTTCATCCTGATCCTGGTGGACGATCTCGGCATCGGGGACCTGGGCTGCTTTGGCAATGACACCCTCCAGTAAAGCTTTGTTTTCTTTCTTTTTTTAATTTTAATGAATCATTGGGAGATACAGTTACCCTAATTAATCCTAACCCTCCCCTAATTCTAAACCAAACCCTAATTCCTCCTAACCTAACTCTAACCCTAAACCCAATTAATCTTAACCCAAACCTTAACCCTAACCCTAACCCTACTTAATCATAACCCTAACGGTAAATCTAACCCTAACCCTAATGAATCAAACTTTAACTCTAAATCTAACCCTATTTAGTCTTAACAATAATCCTAACTCCTACCCTAACCCTCACCCTAACCCTAGCCCTGATTCACCCAACCAGTGACCCTCATTAATCCTAACCCTAAACTTAACCCTAACCCTCATTAATCCTAACCCTAACCCTAACTCTAACCCTGACCCTAATTAACCCTAACCCTAATCCTTTCTCAAAACCTAGCCCTAATTTACCCTAACCCTGATTTATTCTAACCCAAACACTAACCCTCATTAATTCTAACCCTCACTCTAATTCTCACCCGAACCGTAATTAATCCCTACCCTAACTCTGACTCAAAACCTAACCCTGACCCTAACCCTAACCCTGTCACTGTCACTGTCATCCCATTGTTTACCGATTTCCTCGAGCAGGCACCGGGAACGTCTCCATTCGTCCTAGCCCTGAGATTTTAGCAAGTGCCACAGTGGAGGCTGTTTCAGGGTCCGGGGAATGAGACCCATCATTGTTTCTGGGTTTTGTCACATCGAATACACTACGGGGAGCTTGCCAGGCTTTGCCGTGCAGGCAGGATACTCTCGGTAGGGTTCTCCGAGAGAGGGAGAACTAGACAATAAGAAGTCGCTTGGCCGCATTTGCGGCCACGCTCTTCCAAGAGCTTGGTTTTATAGTCTCTGGGTCTTGGCCATTGGTGGGATTACACGGCCCTGGGGGGAGTTGGTGGGTGTAACGCCTACATACTGGAAGACGGGGGATCTGGATGGAGGAGGTCAAGTCCCGATTCGAGCAGGCTTGGAGACGCTAACCCTAACCCTAATTAATTCTAACCCTAACCCTGCTCCAGATACAAGCCTAAATAACCCGTCCCTGACTCTAACCGACTCTAACCCTAACCTTAACTAATCCTAAACCTTACCCTAACTCTAAACCTCATCATAATTAATCTTTTTTTTAAAAAAATTATTTATTTATTTATTTTTGCTTTTTTGGGTCACACCTGGTGATGCACAGGGGTTCCTCCTGGCTCTGCACTCAGGTGTTACTCCTGGCGGTGCTCAGGGGACCATATGGGATGCTGGGAATCGAACCCTGGTCGGCCGCGTGCAAGGCAAACGCCCTACCCGCTGTGCTGTCTCTCCAGCCCCGTAATTAATCTTAACCCAGACCCTAAGTCTACACCTAACCCTAATTAATCTTAACCATAGCTGTGACTCCAAACCTAACCCGAAATACTCCTAATTCCAACTGTAACTCTAACCCTATTTAATATTAACCCTAAGCCTAACCATAATTAATCTTAACCCTAACCCTGACTCTAACCCTAACCCTAATTAGTCCTAACCCTAACCATGATTTCAAACCTAGCCCTAAATGACCCTGACCCTGACTCTACCCCTAACCATAATCCTACTTAATCCTAACAATACCCCTAACCCTACCTCTAACCTTAATTAATCCTAACCGTAACCCTGACTCCAAACCTAACCCTTAGTGACCCTAACCCTGACTCAACCCCTAACCCTAATTAATCCTAACCCTAGACCTAACCCTAACCCTAACTTTAATTAATCCTAACAAAAATTCTGAACCCACACCTAACCTTACATAACCCTAACCGTGACTCTAACCCTAACCCTTATTAATACTAACCCTAACCCTAACATTAACTTTAATTAATCCTAACCTTAACCGTGACTCCAAACCTAGCCCTAAATGACCCTGACCCTGACTCTAACCCTAACCATAATCCTACTTCATCCTAACAATACCCCTAACACTACCTCTAATCTTAATTAATCCTAACCCTAACCCTGACTCTAAACCTAACCCTAAATGACCCTAACCCTGACTCTAACCCTAACCCTAATTAATCCTAACCCTAGCCCTAACTCTAACCCTAACTTTAATTAATCCTAACACAAACTCTGAACCCACACCTAACCTTACATAACTCTAACCCTGACTCTAACCCTAACCCTTATTAATACTAACCCTAACCCTAACATTAACTTTAATTAATCCTAACCTTAACCGTGACTCCAAACCTAGCCCTAAATGACCCTGACTCTGACTCTAACCCTTACCATCACTTAATCACTTAACTTCCCGTTAATCGTCGATTTGCTCGAACGGGTGCCAGTAACGTCTCCATTTGTCCCTGTCGCGTGCTAGTGTAGCCCAATGGCATCTGTTCGCTCCGGGAACATGAAGGGCCTCAAACCAATCGTTCATGATCTTGACGAAGAAGTCTGACCATCTGGTAGGTGGGCGGCCACGCGGTCTTTTGACATCCCGTGGAATCCAGTCGGTAACAGCTCTAGTCCAACGGTCGTCTTTAAATCTCATTACGTGACCAGCCCATCTGATTTTCGACACCTTGGCAAATGAGACAGCGTCCCTGATTCTTGAACGTCGACGGATGTCGGAACTCCCGATTCTTTCTCTCATTTGAGTGAAACGTGATATTCCAAGCATAGCTCTTTCTATTCTTCTTTGGGAGACCTGAATGGCATTCTCATCTTGTTTGCGTAGGGCCCAGGTCTCTGAGGCATATGTTAATGCAGGAAGAACAGTGGAATCAAAGAACACCACCTCCGCTTTGCTGATGACATTGTTTTAATAACACCAAACATCAGCCAAGCGGCACAAATGCTGGCCGACTTTGACCGTGAGTGTGGAAAGGTAGGACTACAGCTGAATCTTACCAAGACAATGTTTATGAGAAACAGCCTCGTTCCTGACGCCCCATTCGCTCTCAACGGAACGACCATCTCCGAATGCAACAGCTATGTGTACCTAGGTCGAGAGGTCAACATGACAAATGACCTGGCACCCGAGCTGCGCAGGAGGAAGAGAGCGGCTTGGAACGCCTTCAAGAGCGTCGAAGAAATAGCTAAGAGGACGAAGAACCTCCGGCTCCGGGCACATCTCTTTGATTCCAACCCTTACCATAACCCTATTAATTCTAACCATGCCCCTAACCCTACTTCTAACGTTAATTAATCCTAACCTCAACCCTGACTCCAAACCTAACCCTAAATGACCCTAACCCTGACTCTACCCCTAACCCTAATAAATCCTAACCCTAGCCCTAACCCTAACCTTAGTTAATCCTAACACTAACCCTGAACCCACACCTAACCTTACATAACACTAACCGTGACTCTAACCCTAACCCTAACCCTAACCCTAACCCTAACCCTAACCCTAACCCTAACCCTAACCTTAATTAATCCTAACCTTAACCCTGACCCCACACCTAACCTTAAATAACCCTAACCCTGACTCTAACCCTAAACTTAATTAATCCTAAACCTAACTCTAAACAAAATCCCAATTAATCTTAACCTAAGCCCTAATTCTAACCCTAACCCTAATTAATCCTAACCACAACAATGACTCCAAACCTAACCCTAAATAACTCTAACCCCAACTGCAACCCAAACCCTATTTAATCCTGATCTTAACCCTAACTCTAACCCTCACCCTCATTAACCTTTACCTCTAACCCTGACAACCCTAACCCTAATTAATTAATCCTAACCCAAATCCTGACTCTTAATCTAACCCTAAACAAAAGCATGACTCCAAATCTAACCCTAAATAACAGTAACCCTAATTGTAACCCTAACGCCAATTAATTCTAACCCTAACCCTAACCCTAACCCTAACCCTAACCCTAACCCTAACCCTAACCCTAACGAACCCTAACCCTGACTCTAACTCTAACCCTAAATAATCCTGACCCTAACCCTGACTCTAACCCTATCCCTAATTGACCCTAACCCCATCTCCACTTTGGCCCTTTGCCCTCCTGTCTCTGAGCCCAGCCCCACCCCCTCGCATCGGACTCCCCACCCTCACCCTGTCCCTCTGCTTCCACCTCAGGACTCCCCACGTGGACCGTCTCGCTCGGGAGGGGACGAAGCTGACGCATCACATCGCGGCTGCCTCCATGTGCACCCCCAGCCGGTCTGCGTTCCTGACGGGGAGGTACCCTGTGCGATCAGGTGTGCAACTTCCTCCTCCTCCTCCTCCTCCTCCTCCTTCTTCTTCTTCTTCTTCTTCTTCTTCTTCTTCTTCTTCTTCTTCTTCTTCTTCTTCTTCTTCTCCTTCTCCTTCTCCTTCTTCTCCTTCTTCTCCTTCTTCTTCTTCTTCTTTTTCTTCTTCTTCTCCTCTTCTCCTTCTCCTTCTCCTCTTCCTCCTCCTCCTTCTTCTTCTCCTTCTTCTTCCTCTTCATCTTCTTTGTCTTCTTCTTTCTATTATTTTCTTCTTCATCTTCCTCTTCTTCCTCTTTTCTTCTTCTTCCTCTTCTTCCTCTTCTTCTTCCTCTTCCTGTTTTTCTTCATCTTACTCTTCCTGTTTTTCTTCATCTTCCTCTTCCACTTCCTCTTCTTCCTCTTCCTCCTCCTCCTCTTCTTCTTCATCATCATCATCTTCTTCTTCTTCTTCTTCTTCTTCTTCTTCTTCTTCTTCTTCTTCTTCTTCTTCTTCTCTTCTTCTCCTTCTCCTTCTCTCCTTCTCCTTCTCCTTCTCCTCCTCCTCCTCCTCTTCCTCTTCCTCTTCCTCTTCCTCTTCTTCTTCTTCTTCTTCTTCTTCTTCTTCTCTTCTTCTCCTTCTCCTTCTCCTTCTCCTCTTCCTCCTCCTCCTCCTTCTTCTTCTCCTTCTTCTTCTTCCTCTTCATCTTCTTCTTTGTCTTCTTCTTTCTATTATTTTCTTCTTCATCTTCCTCTTCTTCCTCTTTTCTTCTTCTTCCTCTTCTTCCTCTTCCTGTTTTTCTTCATCTTCATCTTCCACTTCCTCTTCTTCCTCTTCCTCCTCCTCCTCCTCTTCTTCTTCTCCTTCTCCTTCTCCTCCTCCTCCTCTTCTTCTTCTCCTTCTCCTTCTCCTCCTCCTCCTCTCCTCCTCCTCCTCCTCCTTCTCCTCTTCTTCTTCTCCTTCTCCTTCTTCTCATCCTCCTCTCCTCCTCCTCCTCCTCCTCCTCCTCCTCTTCTTCTTCTTCTTCTTCTTCTTCTTCTCCTCCTCCTCCTCCTTCTCCTCCTCCTTCTTCTTTTCCTCCTCCTCCTTCTCTTTCTCCTTCTCCTTCTCCTTCTTTAATAGTGCTTTAAAATCTTCCACAAATGTTTATTATTCCCTACGTACTTGATTTTAATATTTAGGCCAAATTCAGAAGTGTTCAGGGATCACTCCTGGTGGTGTTCAGGAGACCATAAGTAGTGTCTGGGATAAAATCAGGGTTGGCATAGTATGCTATTACATACAGATAAATTCTTTTTTGTTTGTTTATTTGTTTGCTTTTTGGGTCACACCCATCGATGCACAGGGGTTACTCTTGGCTCTCCACTCAGGAATTACTCCTGGCGGTGCTCAGGGGACCCTATGGGATGCTTGGAATCAAACTTGAGTTGGCTGCATGCAAGGCAAATGCCATACCTGCTATGGTATCACTCCAGCCCCAGATACCATAACTTCTCGATTTACCTGTCAGTAATTGAGCATGATTTGTTTCCGTATCTTGGCTATCATATTAAGAGTTGCAATCAACACAGGTGTGCCTAGCTCCATTAATTTAAAAAATAATGATGTTTTGTGCTTGGGGGAAGGTGTCAAGAAATCGTACAACTTAGGAGTTCTATTTCTTTCTAGAGAGATCTCCATATTGCTTTATCTAGAGGTTGGACCAGAAGGCATCACCACCAGCATTGAACGAGGGTTCCTTTAACATCCCAAACATATCAACGATGGCTACTTACACATTGTTTGATCTGTCATTCTTTTTTTTTTGGGGGGGGGTCACACCCAGCGATGCTCAGGGCTGACTCCTGGCTCTGCACTCAGGAATCACTCCTGGCGGTGCTCGGGGGACCTTATGGGATGCTGGGGATCGAACCCAGGTCGGCCACGTGCAAGGCCAACGCCCTCCCCATTGTACTATCGCTCCAGCCACTAATCTGTCGTTCTTAATGAAATGAGATGATATCTCATTGTGGATTTTGATTTGAATTTCCCTGATCAGGGGGAGTGTTATGGTTCCACATTTTAGTCCTGTGTCTCAGGCCTTTGAAGAGTGTCATTGGACTTTCAATGGCCATTGCGTGACATTTGCACGATACCCTCTGTAGGAAGGTCATTTTGACAATGTTGCTTCTTCCAATCCACGAATAGGCAATATCTCTCTATTTCCAAGTGTCCTGTTCTACTTCTCGCTGCAGTGATCTTTTAAGTGCTCTTGTTCATTCTTTGGCATGCAGAAATATCAGGGCTTTTGTATATTAAATTTGTAGCTTTAACCATACAGTATTGGTTTACTGCTTTTAAGAACTTTGTTGGTGGAGTCCTTAGCGTTTGCAAGGTCTCGTCTGCAATAGTGAGAGTTCAACTTCTTTTCCAATTTGGACCTGGGATCCGATTTCTTTTTTTTTTTTTATGTTTTGAAATTATTTATTTTCTTTACTTTTTTTTTAAAATTGGGATCCGATTTCTTTGCTTTACTATTGGTTGTTTCTCTTCATTGTTCCCCGTGAACGGTCTTCAGACAGCTGGGCTCTTCAGAACTTTCTCACTGAGGCTTCATTCACGCTTGTTTTAATATTTTTCCCCTACAGTTCTGTTGAGGGATTTCCAGGAGATTCTCAATTTCCTTCCTTCTGTCCTCTTGGGTGAACCTTTCCACATCTTCCTCTCTTGACTATGATTCCAAATCTATCCTCAATAATATTTATCTTCAAAACCCTTTTCCTTGTTAATTATTCCTAGAATTGTAGCCGGATGTCGGTTTGTCTTTCTAGTTTTTTTTTTTAATGTAGGAGTACTACTCTTTGATGAAGTTGATTGAAATGGGTGTGAACTCCACAGTGTTTTTTCTTTCTTTCTTTTAAAGTTGTTTATTGAATCCCCGTGGGAGAGACCCCTACAAAGCTATTCACGATCGATCGGGTTTCAGCCCTACAGTGTTCCAACACCCGCCCCTCCACCAGGGAACATTTCCCAGCACCAATGCGTTTTGACCTTCTGGTGCCAGGAGGAGGAATTCACTCCTGGTAGACCCGTGGGAGTTCTTAGGCTCATGGGCTGAGTCCTGTGAGTTTGGCTTGTCTCACTGGATCACCATGAAGCAGAAGCAAAAGATGTGTGAAGAGTCCCATTTTGGGCACTCTGTATGCGTGTGTCTGTGTGTATGAGGGTGTCTCTGTGTGTGTCTGTGTGTCTGTGTGTGCGTGTTCGTGTGTATATGTGTTCGTGTATGTGTGTACATCTCTGTATGTCTGTATGTGTGTACATGTGTGTATTTGTGTACATGTTTCTATGTCTGTAGGTGTGTGTACCTGTGTGTATGTGTGTATATTTATGTGTGCATGTGTATGTATGTCTCTGTGTCTGTGTGTATGTGTCTGTACGTGCATGCATCTGTGTGTGTCTGTGTATGTGTGTAATGTGTGTATGCGTATACATGTATATACATGGGTGTATATTTATGGGTCTATGTGTGTATGATTATGTCTAAGTGTCTGTATCTGTGTGTGTATGTGTTTGTGTGTGTGCGTACGTGTGTATGTGTCTGAATGTTTGCATGTGTGTATGTGTGTACATCTGTGTATGTATGTGTGTGTTTGTGTGTATGTGCATGTGGCTGTATGTGTGTGTGCCTGTGTTCATGTGTGTATGTATGTGTGTATGTGTGTATGTGTCTGTACGTGTGTGTATGTGTGTGAAAGATTTATGTCTCAGTATGTAATTTTTAAATTTTTTTCTTTCTTTTCTTTCTTTTTGGGTCACACCTGGCGATGCCCAGGGGTTCCTCCTGGCTCTGCACTAAGGAATCCCTCCTGGCGGTGCTCAGGGGACCTTATGGGATGCTGGGAATCGAACCCGGGTTGGCCGCGTGCAAGGCAAATGCCCTCCCTGCTGTGTTATCGCTCCAGCCCGTCAGCATGTAATTTCTAAGTCAGCGTTTCTTTACCGGGCAGGGTAAATAGCTGTGTCCCTCCCCAGTGTCCACTCTCTCCCTTGACCCATATACAATGTCACCGGGCCTGTGTCTCAGTGCCTGCTCCAGCGTTTGATGCTCTTTTCCTGGTCCCTCGCCTTCTTTTTGCCTTCAGTGCAGGGTGACCTGGTCTTGTTCCTACACGATTCTCTACCGTGGGTCCTGACCTGTGAACTGTCATTCTAACCCTGTCCCCTGTGTCCCTTGGATGCTTTGCTATTCTGTATCCTGTCTTTGAAACTCTCGAGGGAAGGCAGGTAGGTAGGTGGGAGAGGGCCCTTGGCAATGGAGTTTCTGAGAAGTGCTAAATCCAGCAACACAAAAACTGCAAGAGTTAAGAGCTGGCCAGGTACGATCTTCCTGGGTCCAGTGACAGACCTTGCAGAAGGAGGCTGGACCCCACAGAGACACAAATGTCAGCAATGACAGAGACGGCAAGTATGGGGCTGGAGCGATAGCACAGCAGGGAGGGCGTTGGCCTGGCACGCGGCCGACCCGGGTTCGATTCCCAGCATCCCCTAGGGTCCCCGAACATCGCCAGGGGTAATTTCTGAGTGCAGAGCCAGGAGGAACCCCTGAGCATCACCGAATGTGACCCAAAAACCAAAAAAAAAATTAGGAAGGAAGTAAGGACCTGGAGGCAATTAATGACAGTTGAACCCCCAACGAACTCCTTTTTTAATTTTCATTTTTGCCTCTTTATATTTATAAAGTTGTCCACAACAATTTGCTTTCATCCAACATTCCAACACCCACCTCACCACGATTCCTCCTTCCGACCCACCATGATTTCGAATTTTCCCAACCACTTTTTCCAAGCCAGCCCCCGAAAGGCCGATCCTAAATCATTTATTTTTTTGTGTCGCTTGTTATGAATAATTCGCTAAGACGGATCCCGGAACGTTTCCTTTGAGAAAAGTGTGTAAAGAGTGTTGTCATTAGGCTCTGGTATAAGAGATTACTAACAGAATTGTTCCAGGTTAAGACTTAGGGCGCTTATAGATAAATATATTGATTGAGATCAGTTCCTTCTCCTTTGAACCCGTCAAATGTAGAGTAGCAACGAACTCTCACCTAGCTAGAAATCCGTATATGGGGATGGCATGGAAGAAATCCTACAAGTCCCCTTGAGCCAAGGGAGGGTGCAGAGGCTGCCCGAGCCCAGGTGCTGCTGGTGCCCACGTGGCCAAGCACACGTGTCGCCTGCATCTCCCCTCCGGAGATGGGGACTTTCCTGCTTTCCTGTCTGATGCTGGGGTGTGTGTAGGGGTCTCTCCGCCCTTGGAGAAGCCCGGGGTCTCTCTTGAGTGCGTGACTCTCCAATATCTCCCAATCTCTCTCCTCCTCCTTCCCTTTACAACCTCCCAGTAACCCCGGTGATCATAAGCGTCTACAAGCATAGCTCGGGCATGCGGGGGCCAGGACATTTTTTTTTTCAAACCATGCGGCCGCATATGCGGCCGCGTGACATCTCCTTATATACAAAGTGATCAATGGAAAGTAAATCATCCAACATCTCTCCCTGAAAATCAGGCTGAACTCTTTTGCAAACCACAACACCCAAAAGGAGAGAGAGAGAGAGAGAAAGAGAGAGAGAGAGAGAGAGAGAGAGAGAGAGAGAGAGAGAGAGAGAACAGAGGGGAATACCCTGCCACAGAGGCAGGGTGGGATGGGAGGGATTGGGGGGCGGGGTGGCAGGGATACTGGAACCCGTGGTGGTGGGAAATGGGCACTGGTGGAGGGATGGGTATTCAAAATAAAAAAATAAAACCTCCCAGTAAAATCTGTTTCACTTCTCTGCTCACTTATTCCTGAAAAAAATTCCTTTCTGTGAGGAAGAGAACACCTCTGAGGAAGGCCTAGGACTAGCATCTTTATTTTTCCCTGAAAGAATCAAATCCTCGCTCCGTCCCTCATCTGAGCCTTCCCAGCTGGTCCCGGGTGGCAGAGGCGGATTGGGAGAAAGTGACCCTACCCTTCCTCTCCCCTCCGCCTCCTATTAGCCACTCGTGGGGGCCACTGGCTTCATAGGGGTCTACCCCAGTGGCAACCTGAGTCCCCAGCCCTGGCCAAAAGGCAGTAGGGGGGAGATTCCTACTACTCTGACCTCTTCTGGCCATGCAGGAGGGGACGGAGAGGGTGCGGCCTGTCTTGGGGTGGGGTAGAATAGGGATTCCTTTCTTGAGCTGCCATCTCCCTCGCCCAGACATCCCAGTGAAAAACGGAGCCTCAGTTTACCCTTGCCGGCTGCAATGAGCAGTCCGGAGTCTCGGTGGCCATCCTGCAGCACTCTCCTCCCGTTGTTCATCGATTTGCTCACTCGGGCACCAGTAACGTCTCACAACAAATTGTGAGACTTGTTGTGACTGTGTTTGGCATCTCGAATACGCCAGGGGGAGCTTGCCAGGCTTTGCTGTGTGGGCGAGATACTCTCAGTATCTTTCTGGCCTCTCTGAGAGGGGTGGAGGAATCGAACCTGGGTTGGCCGCGTGCAAGGCCAACGCAGTACTTGCTGTGTTATCACTCCAGCCCCTATTTTTAAATTGTAATGAATCACCGTGAGATGCAGTTACAGACTTACAAACTTTCATGATTGCATTCCAGTCAAACAATGTTCAAGTACCCATCCCTCCAGCAGTGCCCATTCTCCACCCCCAATGTTCCCAGTATCCCTCCCGTCACCCCCACCCCTTCCCACCCCCTGCCTCTGTGGCAGACACATTCCCTCTTACTCTCTCTCTCTCTCTCTCCTTTTGGGCATTATGGTTTGCAGTAGAGTGGCCATCATGTTTGGTCCATAGTCTACTTTCAGCATGCATCTCCCATCCCGAGTGAACCCTCCAACCATCATTTACTTAGTGATCCCTTCTCTATCCCAGCTGCCTTCTCCCCCAGCGCATGAGATCGGCTTCCAAGCCGTGGGCCAGAGCCTGTTTTTATAGGTTATTACTGCAAACTCATCATGACTTTGCTTCTGGCTCAAGCAATGTGGAGCGCCTGAATATCATGACGTCTTACCAGAACGGCTACGTTGAATTTCCTCAAATCAGCATTTTCTTCGAACCCTTGCGAAGACCCATAAGAGAATGTTAGAATGGAAAACTGTGATATGTATCTGTGATTTTGTAATTGATTTATAACACGTGCTCTTAGAGCTGATTTGGCTTGGGGGTGGAAAGTTTTCATTGGTGCCCACCCTGTCTGCACTCGGGCTGAACTTCCCTGTTCCTAGCTAAGAAAAGCCATCCTACATTTTTTTACTTCTTTTTTTTTCTTTTTAGGTCACACCCAGCAATGCTCAGGGGTTCCTCCTGGCTCTGCATTCAGGAATTATTCCTGGCGGTGCTCAGGGGGGGACCCACATGAGATGCTGGGAATCAAACTCGGGTTGGCCGTGTGCAAGGCAAACACCCTACCCGATGTGCTATCACTCCAGCCCACATTATTTTTTACTTCTGTGAATTCTTGGGCTTTTTCTGGTCAACCTGCAGTGAACAATCCTCTAACATAAAATTCTGCCCTAGAGTTAAGACAATGGGCAATCTCTGAGCTCAATTCAGATCCTTGCTTCTCTCCAACACTTGCCAAGAGCCCAATTTTCGTTTCATTTCAAAGGGTCTACAAAAAAAATCTTTTCTCTTTAAGTCCCCTGCATTCCCCGTTACACAAAGACCCAGTTTCTCTATAACGCCCCTCACCCAAAGAGCCCTGGAACTCGAGTCCTAGACCAAGTTCCTTCCCACCTGGGGAATTCCTTTTCCTTTCTCTCCTTCTTTCCAAGAAACATTTCTACATCCCAACTCTGAGTCTCAGCATCTTTAGAACGCAGAGACCCACAGTTCCCTTTTCTGTCTCATCTGCGTCACCACTACCTCTTTTTACTGGAGAACTTTGATGGAGCTGGTGAGATTTACAAAGACCAATTTGGACTGCAGAGGGACTGGGCCGAGGGCAGGGCGCTTGCCTTGCCCAATCTCTTGCATCCCATCGGGTTGCCCTGAGCTCTGCCAGCAGCTGTCCCTGAGTGCAGAGCGAGGAGCACAGTTGGGTGTGGCCCCCAAGTCAAAAATAAGTACATGCAATGAAGCAGAAGGATCCACTCTTTCTACTTCCACTTCCATTGGCTCTTGGCCATTTAAATGAACACGATGAGCTGGGGGAGAAGACAGCTGGGATAGAGAAGGGGTCACTGAGTCTGTGAGGGTTGGAGGGATCCCTCGGGATGGGAGATGTGTGCTGAGAGTAGATAAAAGTAGATAAAGGACCAAACGTGTTGGTCTCTTGGTGTCTGTATTGCTAACCATCATGCCCCAAAGTAGAGAGAGAGAGACTGGGGGAGATTGTCTGCCCTGGAGGCAGAGGAAGGGTTGGGATGGGGGGATACTGGGGACATTGGTGGTGGGGAATGGGCACTGGTGGAGGGAGGGGGGTTCCATCATGGTGTGAAATTAAAACATGAAAGCTTTGTAACTGCATCTTACAGTGATTCAGTAAAAAAAAAATGGATGGGAGACGGGAGTGGACCAGTACAGAGTGTAGCTAACTGCTTTTAGTTCCTACATCAATCGATTGGTTGACTAGTGTATTGTTTATTTTCCTACTCTGCTGACGGTCTGACTACTTCAGGGATTGGTTACTTCTTGCTTGAACTATCTTATTTTTGATTTCTGTGATTTCTGTTGAACTCTAGCCTACTGTGTTTGTGGTCTCTGTTGTATTACTGCTGGCTTGATTTTGAGTTTCTGTGTCAACCAACGCATTGTTTAGCCAACTGCTTTGTTGGGCTCCTGTAAATTTGTTCCCTGCTTAGGGAACTTCCAAAAAAAAATGGTTTGACCCTTTATACCAACCCTTGTTTTTATTTATTTTATTATTATTTTTATTTTACAGTCAAAGTTGCTCCTTCTAACCCAGCCTGGGCTAGAGAGAGAATTGCTGTCCAGCTAATAAAGATTCCTTGATTTTGGGGGGCTTTTTTAGGGGTCCCACCCGGCGATGCTCAGGGGTTCCTCCTGGCTCTGCACTCAGGAATGAGTCCTGGCCATGCTCGGGGGACCCTATGGGATGCCGGGGGTGGAACTCAGGTTGACTGCGTGCAAGGCGGATGCCCTCCCTGCTGTCCTATCGCTCTGATCCCAAAGGTTCTTGGATATGAGACAAGATTATGACTCAGTGGGGCATTGCCTCGCCGATAACATGACTGGCGTGTCTTCCGCCTGTCCCCGTTCTCCAAGCTCAGAGCCCCTAGCTGACCTGCCCTTTCTCTGCCTTCCACCCACCCAGGGATGGCCAGTAACGATGGCACCCGGGTCATCTACTCCCTGGGGGACACCGCCGGGCTGCCTCGCAACGAGACCACCTTTGCCGAGTTACTGCGAGATCAGGGCTATAGCACCGCCCTCATAGGTAAGACCCTGCTGGTTGTCTCTGTACATGCAGAAGACCAGCCCAATGGGGGCCCACTTCTTCCTCGGGATGTGTACTTCCTTCCTTTTCCTTCATCTCTCCTTCCTTCCTTTTTTCCTTCCTTCCTTCCTTCCTCTGCTTCCCTTCTTTCTTCCTTCTTTCCTCTCCTTGTTTCTCTCTTTCTCTCTCAAACTCTCCTTCCTTCCTTCCTTCCTTCCTTCCTCCCTTCCTTCCTTCCTTCCTTCCTTCCTTCCTTCCTTCCTTCCTCTGCTTCTCTCCTTTCTTCCTTCTTTCCTCTCCTTCCTTTTATCTCTCAATCTCTTTTTCCTTCCTTCCCTCCCTCCCTCCCTCTCTCCTTCCTTCCTTCCTTCCTTCCTTCCTTCCTTCCTTCCTTCCTTCCTTCCTCTGCTTCTCTCCTTTCTTCCTTCTTTCCTCTCCTTCCTTTTCTCTCTCAATCTCTTTTTTCTCCCTTCCTTCCTTCCTTCCTTCCTTCCTCCCTCCCTCCCTCCCTCCCTCCCTCCCTCCCTTCCTTCCTTCCTTCCTTCCTTCCTTCCTTCCTCCCTTCCTTCCTCTGCTTCTCTCCTTTCTTCCTTCTTTCCTCTCCTTCCTTTTATCTCTCAATCTCTTTTTCCTTCCTTCCCTCCCTCCCTCCTTCCTTCCTTCCTTCCTTCCTTCCTTCCTTCCTTCCTTCTTTCCTTTCCTCCTTCTATCCTTTCCTTCTTTTTTCTTTATTTCTTCATACATCTATGCACATGTCTACACATCTGTCTGTCTGACTCTATGTTTATCTATGCGTCCATTCATCAATCCTTTCATCTATTGATCCATCCATGTTTGTCAGTATTTCTCTATCTCTGCGGTCTAATATCTCTTCCTGTCTACCTACTTCCTTCTCTCTGCCTCTGCCTGTCCACTCAGCCTTCCATCGCCTGCCCTCCGCGTTCTGTGACACTCATGTCTTGGAGACCCTGGCTTCGTCCTCCCCCTGGGTGAAGCCCACCCCTTGTCCACCACAGACTCACATGTATTTGTTCGTCCTTTGATTTCTCGTGGCACCTGGAGTCGGACAACCATATCTTTTTTTTTAATTTTTAAAAAAATTTTATTAGTAAGACACCATGAGGTACAGTTGTAGACTTACAATTTTTTGTGCTTGGGTTTCAATTATACAATGATCGAGTGCCCATCCCTCCACCAGTGCCCATTTCCCACCACCACGGATCCCAGTACCCCTCCCACCCCCCATTCCCCCAACCCCACCCTGCCTCTGTGGCAGGGCGTTCCCTTTTCTTCTCTCTCTCCTTTTGGGTGAACAACCACATCTTAACCCAAACGTCTGCAAAGCAACGAGAAGCTAGCTCATTTTTTTTTTAAGGAAGAAAACAAAATAACAACAACCAAGAGGAAAATCAGTCACCCTGATTTTTGGTTCTGAGTTCTTGTTCCCAAATGAAGAGCGAGTGTGTGGCCACAGCATCTGACTTCTCGTGTGTGTGTGTGTGTGTGTGTGTGTGTGTGTGTGTACTTCATTTCAGGCAAGTGGCATCAAGGCTTAAATCGCCACGTTCGCGGAGATCACCATCACCACCCCTCTCAGCATGGCTTCGACTACTTCTACGGCATGCCCTTAACGCTGGTGGACACCTGCTGGCCCGACCCCTCCCGAGACACGGAGCTGGCTTTCTCAGGGAGGATGGGTAGGCTGGTTCAGCACCTGATCGCCCTGGCCGTGGTCACCTTCGTCTTGGGGATAGTCCTGCGCTGGTTCTGCGTGTGCTGCCTGCTCGTGCCCGTCTCGGTGCTCCTGATCGTCCTCCTGAGCTACTTCTGGTCCGAGAGCCACCAATCCTCGCGCTACTGGGACTGCCTCCTCATGCGAGGTCACGACATCACGGAGCAGCCCATGAAGGCAGAGCGTGCGGGCTCCATCATGGTCGAGGAAGCGACTGCCTTTCTAGAAAGGTAATTCCCGGGCTGGAGTGATAGCACAGTGGGGAGGGTGTTTGCCTTGCACACAGCCGATCCGGGTTCGATTCTCAGCATCCCATAGGGTCCCCCGAGCACCACCAGGAGTGATGCCTGAGTGCAGAGCCAGGAGGAAGCCCTGAGCATCGCCGGGTGGGACCCAAAAGAAAAAAAAAAGTCTGTGTCTGTGTGTGTTCTTAGGTGTGTGTTTGTGTGTGTCTATGTCTGTGTGTGCTTGTGTGTCTGTGTATGTGTGTGTTTGTGTGTATTTGTGTGTGTTGTGTGTGTTTATGCATGTGTGTTTGTATCTGTGTGTGTCTGTGTGTTTGTGTGTGTATGTCTGCGTCTGATTGAGTCTGTGACTGTGTTTGTATGTGTGTGTTTTTGTGTGTGTCTGTGTGTTTGTCTGTGTGTCTGTGCGTCCGTGTGTTTGTGTGTGTATGTGCAAGTTCCATGATTCTCCCCAGAGGCTGTGGTGTTGCTTCTGGTTCCAGGAGACCCTGGGGCAGCGTCTTGCCTCACCCAGCAGCTCCTCGAACCCTGGGCACGTGAGAGCATCTCTGGCTGCAGTGCTCCTAGGTGGTGCTTGCAGCACAGCTGAGGCGAACCCACACACACACACACACACAGGGACCTCAAGAACCAGAGTCACGTGAGAGAGTTTATGCAGACACGCAACAACGACACACATGCTCAGGGAATTTGCCTCCGTGGACTAGCAAACAGGCAGCAGAGGGAGCAAGCAAGGGGGTCGTTACGGCTACGAAGAAACTTCCGGAATTTATTCCTGGTGCTCTACCGCAGAGGCCAGGCTGCAAGATTGCCGACACCCAAGGCTGTCGGCTCTGGGTGTCTCCTCTCGGGGATGCTGGGGGTTTTGCAACCGCCTTGGACCCAGGGAGGGCGCAGAGGCTGCCCGAGTCCGGGTGCTGCTGGTGCCCACGTGGCCGGGAACACGTGTCACCTGCATCTCCCCTCGGAAGATGGGGACTTTCACGCGTTCCTGTCTGATGCTGGGGGGTGTGTAGGGGTCTCTGCGCCCTTGGAGAAGCCTGGGGTCTGTCTTGAGCACTTAACACACACACACACACAATCTCTCTCTCTCTCTCTCTCTCTCTCTCTCTCTCTCTGTCTCTCTCTGTCTCCCCTTCCACACCATAAAAAACCCTCCAAATAAAATCTATTTATTTCACTGCCCGTCTACTCCCGAAATTCCTTTTTTTGCAAGGCGAGACAAGAATCCAGTCACCCTGGGTCCTGGGGGACAGAGGTGGATGGGGAGAAAGTGACCGTCTCTCTCCTCCCTGCTCACGTGAGCCCCCCGTGGGGTCCCACGGCCATCAGTTTGCCCCGCTCCACAGAAAAGACCCCCTGATATATTTGCAGGAACCAGAATGGGCCGTTTCTCCTCTTCTTCTCCTTCCTCCACGTCCACACTCCTCTGCCCACGGCCGACGCCTTTCTGGGTACCAGTAGCCACGGCCTGTACGGGGACAATGTCCAGGAGATGGACGCCATGCTGGGTGAGTGGCTGTACTGGACTCACAATGCAGGACTCAGAGGGGACTTTGGGGTGGACGATGGTACCCCCATCCCATGAGGCCCCACATGTCTCATCAGTGCTGGCCCATACCTGACTGTCCAATAGTCTCTGGACGATGGCGGCCACCTAGCCACCAGGGTGAGTAGGCAGATGGACAGCACCTTTTCCAACCCAGGGCGGCTAGTAGCTTAATGCAAAGTCCTGACGCATTTCTGCCAAATGCCGCTGGGTTCCGAGATTCGGTTGATTTGGTTGTGTGCCTCTGGGATTATCATTAAAAAAAATCTTTTAATCTTTGAAAAATATCTTCTCATTACAGTCTAAAATTTCAACATCTTCTCCATCAATTCGATGACTTATGGCACTAAGTACATTCACATAGTTACAAAACCCTCACCACTTTCTATCTGCAGAACTTTTTTTTGGAATACTCTTTTGTATAAAATTCAGGGGCTGGAGTGATAACACAGCGGGTAGGGCGTTTTTGCCTTGCACGCGGCCGATCTGGCTGACCCAGGTTCGATTCCTCTGCCCTTCTCGGAGAGCAGGGCAAGCTGCCAAGAGTATCTTGCCCGCATGGCAGAGCCTGGCAAGCTGCCCATGATGTATTCGATATGCCAAACACAGTAACAAATCTCACCACGTTACTGGGTCCGCTCAAGCAAATCGATGAACAATGGGAGGACACTGACAGTGACAGTGATAAAATTGAGACTGTAGGTAGAAATTGAGAGTGTGTATATGTATTTAAAGGTAGGACAGTGTGGTAAGTCTTGGGAAAAAAATCCATCTTGGCTCATGGTCAAACTTTGAGCAAGGGAGTACAAGTTGGCTGGAGAGGAAATTGGATTCTCAGTCTTCTGAGATGGTCCATTTCAGGCAGGTATGACATCACGATCATGATCATGACAATCCTGTTGTTTGTCAGTTGCCTCGAGCAGGCACCAGTAATGTCTCCTTCGTCCTAGCCCTGAGATTCTAAAATGTGCCACGTTCAAGGCTCTTTCAGGGTTAGGAGAATGAGACCCATCCTTGTTACTGGTATTTGGCATATTGGGTACGCCACGGGGAGTTGGCCAGACTCTGACGTGTGGGCAGGTTACATTTGGTAGCCTGCTAGGTTGTCCAAAGTAAGAATGAGATAATAAGATGTCTTTGGCTCCCAGGGCTCTGCTCGGGGAGGGGAGGGAAACTTAACCCACCCCCCTCCAAGGGACCCCAGCGAAGACATGCGAAGACAGCGAAGACATCAGGCATGGGGGCAGGAGATTCTGCGCTGTTCTCTTCCAGGAGCTGGGTTTTATAGTCTCTGAGTCTTGGCTGTTGATGGGATTACACGGCGCCAGGGGGCCAGTTGGTGGGTGTGACCCCCGCCTACTGGAATTCGGCGGATCTGGGTGGAGGATGCTCAGCCCCGATCCGAGCAGGCTTGGAGATCTCAGCCCCGGGACCCGCATGCCTTTGTTCCTCTGCCGGTACCTTCATGAGTGTGGAGAGTGGTCTCAGCATGGTGGTGGCTGGTTCTGGAGGTCTTCGGCTGCTGGGGCTCTTCTTGGGGCGGGGAGGGAAACTCAACCCGCCTCCCTCCAAGGGGCCCCGGTGAGGACAGCCAGGCGCGGGGACAGGAGCTCTCCAAGAACAGAAATGATGATGATGATGATGATGATGACATCATCAGCTTTATTTGTTCGCTGAGGACAAATCACTGAAATTCTCCCAAGTAGATGACGGTTGGCATGTAATAGATTTGGGGGCCAGTAGGAGATGCCTTGAAAATCGGAATCTGAATCAAGGAGCTTTCATTTCATTCATTCATTCATCATCCTGTTATTCGTCGATTGCCTCGAGCAGGCCCCAGTAACGTCTCTTTCATCCTAGCCCTGAGATTATATTCACGGCTCTTTAGGAGAATGAGACCCATCATTGTTACTGGTATTTGGCATACTGGGTACGCCACGGGGAGTTTGCCAGACTCTGCCCTGTGGGCAGGCTACATTTGATAGCCTGCAAGTTTGTCCAGAGTAGGAATGAGATAATAAGATGTCATAAAAAGATGTCCTGATAAGATGTCGTGCGGCCGCGAATGCGGCCACGTGTTTCCGGGAGCTGGATTTTATAGTCTCTGAGTCTTGGCCGCTGATGGGATTACACGGCGCCAGGGGGCCAGGTGGTGGGCTTGATCCCTGCCTACTGGAATTTGGAGGATCTGGGTGGAGGATGCTCAGCCCCGATCCGAGCAGGCTTGGAGATCTCGGCCCCGGAACCCACGTGGCTTTGTCCCTCTGCCAGTACCTTCATGTGTGTGGAGAGTGATCTCACATGGTGGTGGCTGGTCTTGGAGGTCTTCAGCTGCTGGAGCTGGGTCAAGGAACTTTCAGTGTATTGAAACTACTGATAGCGGGTAGGGCGTTTGCCTTGCACATGGCCGACCCGGGTTTGATTCCCAGCATCCCATAGGGTCCCCCAAACACCACCAGGAGTCATTCCTGAGTGCAGAGCCAGGAGTCAGCCCTGAGCCGAATCGCCGGGTGTAACCCTCCCCCCCCCCCCAAAAAAAAGAAAAAAAAGAGAAAGTACTGAAAAAATATATATGAAGGACTTATTTCAGTGTCATCCTTCCGTCCCTCTCTCTCTTCCCTGTATGGTTGTGCTGTTTGTTTCTCGGCCCGGGGGATGAAGTGCTTGGTAACCCGGGGGCGCTCGTCACCGAGTGCCACTTGCTGATTTACCCAGCCAAGGTGCCCATGCCTTCTGCCGAGGGTTCTCTCTCACGAGTTCCCCCTCTAAGCCAAGACCCAGAGTCCCTTGGGAGAGACCCTTGCCAGGCTCACACACCTTCTTGTCAGGGGGTTTGTACCTGCCAGCGCTGAAATTTTGAGTGTTCATCAGGGCGCCCCAGAGGGGGGCGGGTGAGAGCCCTCCCCTTCCCAAGGGACCCAGCCCTGGCAGCCGAAAGCTCCAGAACCCAAGCACCGCCATGCTCAAGGCTGCTCCCCGTAGGCTTAAGTCAAGCCTCATGCATGAGTGAATGTATTTCTGAACCACGCGGCCTCAACACATCATGACACACTCCCTGGGACCGCGGCGATAGCACAGAGGAGGGGGCATTTGTCTTGGATGCGGCTGATCCAGGTTCGATTCCCAGCATCCCGTTAGGTCCCCAAAGCATTGCCAGGAGCGATTCCTGAATGCAGAGCCAGGAGTAACCCCTGAGCATCTCTGGGTATGTCCTCAAAACCAAAAACCAAACATGAGACCCTCCCTACTCAATCTCCAAGAATACCACACCACATTTGATGCGGTTCCAATAGTAGGCAACCAATCACTGACACTGTCCTCCCGTTGTTCATCGATTTGTTCAAGCGGACCCAGTAACATTGTGAGATGTGTTACTGTGTTTGGCATCTCGAATACATCACGGGTAGCTTGCCGGGCTTTGCCACGCGGGCGAAATACTCTCGGTAGCTTGCCGGGCTCTCTGAAAGGGGCGGAGGAATCGAACTCTGGTTGTCTACGTGCAAGGCAAACGCCCTACCCGCTGTGCTATCGCTCCTTGGGACCCCACCCACCCGCAGGGAATGCGGGGTCATGTCACTGTGTCCCGGTGCCTGCTTGTTCATCCCACGGTTCCCTCCGTTTGCTTGACTCTTCACTCTCAGGGAAGCTTCTGGAAGCCGTGGACCGCCTCGCGCTCACCAATCAGACCCTGGTCTATTTTGCATCTGACCACGGAGGACACCTGGAGGCGCGGAGGGGCCAGACGCAGCTCGGAGGATGGAACGGGAGATTCAAAGGTGCGGGGAGCGAGTCGAGCCTCTGTGTGTGTGTGTGTGTGTGTGTGTGTTGTGTCTCTGTGTGTGTGTTGTGTGTGTGTGAGGGGTGGGTGTGGGGGAGTGGGACATATGAGTTTTCCTGTTCTTGTTGTGTGAGCCCCGGATGAGGGTACGACAGGGACGTGAGTTTGTGGGTCGGCGTGTTGGGAAACGAGCTCGAAGTCGGGTGAGTGGGAACATGCACAAGCCAAAGTGGCCGTCCGAACGCCTCGTCCAGGGAAGCCCAGAAGGAGCATGGCTATCTTTCTTTTTCTTTCTTTCTTTCTTTCTTTCTTTCTTTCTTTCTTTCTTTCTTTCTTTCTTTCTTCTCTTTCTTCCTCCCTTCCTATTTTCTCTTTCATTCATTCTTCCTCTTTCTCTCTTTCTTTCTTTCTTTCTTTCTTTCTTTCTTTCTTTTATCCTTTCATCCTTTCTTCTTTCTTTCATTCTCTCTTTCCTTTTTCCTTCCTTCCTTCCTTCCTTCCTTCCTTCTTTCCTTTCTCTTCTCTTCCTTTCATTCTTCCTTTCCTTCTTTATTTCCTCTGTCCTTCCTTCCTTCCTTTCTCTCTCTTTACCCTTCCTCTTTCTTTCTTTCTTTCTTTCTTTCTTTCTTTCTTCTCCCTTCCTTTATTTTTCTCTCTTTCTTCCTTTCTTCTTCTTCCTTTCTTCTTGTCTTCCTCCCTCTGTCCTTCCATCCCTCCCCCTTCATTCCTTCCTTCTTTCCTTCTTCCTTCCTTCCTTCCTTCCTTCCTTCCTTCCTTCCTTCCTTCTTCCCCTTCCTTCCTTCCTTCCTTCCTTCCTTCCTTCCTCCCCTTCATTCCTTCCTTTCTTCCTTCCTTCCCATCTTCCATCCTTCCTCCCTTCTTTCTTCCCATTTTCTTACTTCCATCCCTTCTTCCCTCCCTCCCTCCCTCCCTCCCTCCCTCCCTCCCTCCCTCCCTTCCTTCCTTCCTTCCTTCCTTCCTTCTTTCCTTTCTCTCCTTCCTTCCTTCTTTCCTTTCTCTCCTTCCTTCCTTTCTCTCCTTTCTCCCTCCTCCCTCCCTTCCTCCCTCCCTCCCTCCCTCCCTCCTTCCTTCCTTCCTTCCTTCCTTCGTTCCTCCCTTCTTTCCTTCATACAATATTCCAACACCGATACCCCACCCCTGTCCATTCCCCACCATCAATTTCCCCAGTTCCCCTCTCCCCCTCCCCCACAGTTTCCCTCTCTCCATCCCTCTGTCTTCCTCTCTTTCTTCCTCTCTCTGTTTCTGTCTCACACTCCATCTCTCTCTTCCTCCTTTCTGACTCTCTCCCTCTCCTTCTGTCTCTCCCTCCCTTTCTCTCCACCCTCTCTCTCCCTCTCTCCATCTCTCTCCACTCTCCTTTCAGCGTTTCCCATACAGATAGGAAGAGGCGATCATGTTTGTCCCTGTCCCTGTTCTCGGCACCCAGTTCTTCTCCAGAGTGTCTCTGCCACGCGCCATTGGAGGAAGACAGTCTTGGCGGTGGTGACGCCACACTTTCAAGCAGAAGTCCTTCACCCGCGCATGAAAAACCTTGGTGCCAACATACCCAGGAAGGGCCCTTCTCGCGGGCGTCCTGGCAGCCTGGGCTCCAGGGACTGTCCGCGAGTGGACCCCACTGACCCTCCTTTTCTCCGGCGCAGGTGGCAAAGGCATGGGCGGCTGGGAAGGAGGCATTCGGGTCCCGGGCATCGTGCGCTGGCCCGGGCAGGTGACCACGGGACAGGTGATCGATGAACCCACCAGCCTGATGGACGTCTTCCCCACGGTGGTGGCTCTGGCGGGGGCCGAGGTACCGCAGGACAGGTGAGGCCCAAGGCCACCCAGGGCCCCCCCCGCACTTCAGGGGGACTCGAGATCCCCTTTGGCCCTGCAATGCAGTCGCCGCCTGATTCTGTTGTGTGGATTTGTTTTCCCAGTGAAAGAACAACTTTGGTCTGTGTGGGGGCCACACCTGCAGGTGTTTGGGGGACCCTAGGAGGGGTGGGTCTCATTCTCCTAAATAGCCTTGAATATGATCTCAGGGCTAGGATGAAGGAGACGTTACTGGGGCCTGCTTGAGGCAATCGACGATTAACAGGCAATCGACGATTAACAGGAGGGGTGGGGAAGTGAACGAGGTACATTGCACGCCTTTCTTTCTTTCTTTCTTTCTTTCTTTCTTTCTTTCTTTCTTTCTTTCTTTCTTTCTTTCTCCCTTGCTTTGTTTCTCCCTTTCTTTGTTTCTTCCTTTCTTCCTTCCTTCCTTTCTTTCTTTCCTTCCTTCTTTCTTCCTTCCTTTCCTATCTTCCTTCCTTTCTCTTCTTTCTTCCTTCCTTCTTTCTTCCTTCATTTCTTCCTTCCCTATCTTCCTTCCTTCCTTCCTTCCTTCCTTCTTTCCTCTTTCTCTCACTCTGTCTTTCTTCATTTTCTTCTTTCTTTTCCTTTCTTGTTTAACTAATTTTAATCCTTTTTTCTTTCACCTTTTCCTCTTTTTGTTTCTTTTCCTCCCTCTTCTTTCCTTCCCTTCCATCCCTTCCTTCTCTTTTTTCCTTTCATATCCTTCCTTCCCTTTCTCCTTCCCTACCTCCTGTCCTCCCTCCATCTCTTTCTTCCTTCCTTCCTTCCTTCCTTCCTTCCTTCCTTCCTTCCTTCCTTCCTTCTTCCCTCTCAGTTCCTTCCTTCCTTCCTTCCTTCCTTCCTTCTTCCCTCCCTCCCTCCCTCTCTTCCTTCCTTCCTTCCTTCCTTCCTTCCTTCCTTCCTTCCTTCCTTCCTTGCCAGGGCCCTGTGGGTCACCTCCCCCGCCCACCCGCGTGTGTCTCCACAGACAGATCGACGGCCGGGACCTCATGCCCCTGCTTCTCGGCCAGCAGCAGCACTCGGAGCACGAGTTTCTCTTCCACTACTGCGAGGTGTATCTGCACGCGGTTCGCTGGCGCCCCAGACACAGTGAGTGCCCGGACCCATCCCCAGGGGGCCCGGCCCACGCCCACCCGCCCAGCTGCTTCACGGCTCCCTCCCTCGCAGAAACCTGCTAGATTCTAGAATTGGTGCGACAATTCCTCTTCCTCCTCCTCATCTCCTCCTCCTCCTCCTCCTCCTCCTCCTGCTTCTTCTTCTTCTTCTTCTTCTTCTTCTTCTTCTTCTTCTTCTTCTTCTTCTTCTTCTTCTTCTTCTTCTTCTTCCTCTTCATGTTCTTTCTTCTTTTTTCTTTTATTCCTTCTCCTCTTCCTCCCACTCTCGCTCCTCCTCCTTCTCCCCTCCTCCTCCATCTTCTTCCTCTTCCTCCTCCTCCTCCTCTTGTTGTTGTTGTTGTTGTTGTTCTTCTTCTTCTTCTTCTTCTTCTTCTTCTTCTTCTTCTTCTTCTTCTTCTTCTTCTTCTTCTTCTTCTTCTTCTTCTTTCCTCCTTTCTCTTTTCCTTCTCCTTCTCCTCCTCCTCCTCCTCCTCCTGCATCTCCTCCTTATTCCCTACTTCCCCCCCTGTGGAAAACAGTATGGACATATTGCAGTAAACTTAGCACTGAGCTGAGCAGCAAACTTAGCACTTATCCAGGAATTCCATCCACCCTCAAGACACAAAATAATAACAATTGAAAAGGAAATCTGCAGCATTTGGCACAATAGCGACAAGTCTGACAACCGTTGACCGGGTGACCAACATGTAGTCTGCAGACCACGCAATGCAGCTGCAAGAAACAAACACAACCATGCGATTTGCACTGACTTCTTGTGTGTGTGTGTGTGTGTGTGTGTGTGTATGTGTGTGGTGGGGTGCCACACCTGGCAATGCTCAGGTCTGACTCCTGGCTCTGTGCTTTGGGCTGACTTCTGGCTCTGTGATCAAGGCTCACTCCTGGCTCTGTGCTCAGGGATGACTCCCGACTCTGTGCTCAAGGCTCACTCCTGGGTCTGTGCTAAGGGATCCCTTCTGGTGGTGCTCAAGGAACCATATGAGATGCTGGGGTGGAACCCAGGTCTGCTGTGTTTAACGCCAATGCCCTCTGCCCTGTCCTATCTCTCCTGCCCAGGTCCGGCCACCTGGAAGGTGCATTACGTGACCCCTGTGTTCCAGCCACCAGGAGCCCAGGGCTGCTACAGGTCGTACTTTTGCCCGTGTTCCGGGGACCAGGTCACGTACCACGACCCCCCGCTTCTCTTCGACCTCAGCCGGGACCCCTCAGAGTCCACGCCCCTGACTCGGGACACGGAGACCCTGTACGATGTGGTGATCCGCAAGGTGGGGGAGGCGGTGAGGGAGCACCGTCGCTCCGTGCTCCCCGTGCCCATCCAGTTGTCTCGACCCCGGAACAGACACGATCCCTGGCTCAGACCCTGCTGCGGCCTCTTCCCCTTCTGTCTGTGTGACCGGGAGGGGCGGCGCTAGGAGACGAGCTCTCTGGCAGTCAGGGATTCGGGGTCCCATTCACGAGGTTCTTGGGGAGACCCTGGGGTGGCCGACCTGGCTGGTGAAGGCAATAAAAGAAAGACTGTGAGACTGGGATGGGCGCTTCTGTTTTATTTCCTTCACTCTTTGTATTTTAGTTTTTAAGATTTTTTAGAACTTTTTTATTGAGTCGCTGTGAGATAGACCCTTACAAAGACGCTCCTGGTTGGGTTTCTGTCACACAGTGTTCCAACCCCCGTCCCTCCACCAGGACACATTTCCCACCACCAGGTCCCCAGGTGCCCTCCCATCACCCCCCACCTCCTCATCTCAGACCCCCACAGGAGTCATCCCAAGGGTAGAGCCAGGAGTGAGCCCTGACTATCGCCAGATGTGGCACAAAAACAGAAAGAAAGAAAGAAAGAAAGAAAGAAAGAAAGAAAGAAAGAGAAAGAAAGAAAGAAGGTAGGAAGGAAAAAAGGAAGGAAGGAAAAAAGGAAGCAAAGAAAAAAGGAAGAAAGGAAAGATAAAAGGAAGAAAGAAAGAAAGGAAATAAAGAAATAAAGAAAGAAAAAAGAAAGAAAAGATAAAAGGAAGAAAGAAAGAAAGGAAATAAAGAAATAAAGAAAGAAAAAAGAAAGAAGGAATGAAAGAAAGAAGGAACAAAAGAAATAAAGAAAGAAGAGGGAAGTAAGGAGAGATGGAAAAATGGAAGGAAGAAAGTTAGAAATGAGAAAGGAGAAAAGGAAGGAAGGGAGAGAGGGAAGGAAGAAGAGAAGGAAAGAAGGAAAGAAAGAAATGAGTGATAGTATAATGGGTAGAGCGTCTGCCTTGCATGCGACCAACCCAGGTTGGATTCCCAGCATCCCATATGGTCCCCCCCAGAGCACCGCCAGGAGTAATTCTTGAGTGCAGAGCCAGGAACAATCCCTGAGGATTGCCGAGTGTGACCCAAAAAGAAAAAAAGTAGAAGAAATAAAGGGAGAAGGAAGGAAGAGAGGAAGGAATGAAGAAAAGGAGGGAGAAAGAGAAGCTCTTTATAACAAAAACTATTTATTTAAAAATGTCTGTCTTTGTTTGGCTCTTGGGCCATACCTGGCAGCGTTTTTGGCTCACTCTGGGCTCTGTGTCCAGGGGTCATTTTTGGCAGTGCTCGAAGGACCAGGCATTGGTGAGAATCAAACCCAGGTGTGTCACATGCAACGTGCACTGAGCCTGTTAGCCGGTTGAATTTTCCTGATCCCCAAATCTTTTATCTCTCAAAAAAATGAAATCACTGTGAGATGCACAGTTGCAAAGTTATTCATGGTTGGGTTTCGGTCATGCCATGTCCAACACCCATCCCTTTACTAGTGTACGTTTTCCACCACCAATGCCTACAGATTCCAAGATTCCATCTCTCTCTCTCTCTCTCTCTCTCTCTCTCTCTCTGTCCTCTCTCCTTCTTGGCATTCTGGTTTGCTACACAGGTAGTGAAAGGTTATCATGCATATCCTGTTTAACTCCTTTCAGCTCTCAGTCTTGTCCACAAAGATCATTTCAACTATCATGTTATGATTATTTTCATTGTTTTTACAAAAGCTAATCCCCAAACCCTGAACTGTGTATTTTTTTCCCTTTTTGGGTTCAAACCTGGTGAGGCACACGGGTTACTCTTGACTCTGAACTCAGGAATTACTCCTGGTGGTGCTCGGTGGACCATATGGGATGCTGGGAATTGAACCCCGGTCAGCCGCATGCAAGGCAAACGCCCTACCCGCTGTGCTATCATCGCTCCAACCCCAGGACTGTGTATTTTTTTAATTTATTTTTTGCTTTTTGGGTCACACGCGGCGATGCTCAGGGTTTACTCCTGGTTCTGCACTCAGGAATGACTCCTGGCGGTGCTCAGGGGGACCATATGGATGCTGGGAATCGAACCTGGGTTGGCCGCGTGCAAGACAAACGCCCTACCCCGTGTGCTATCTCTCCAGCCCCCAGGGCTGTGTATTTTAATCGTTAGAATCAGTTGACCACTAGAGGGAACACAAATGTAGCCAAGTGCACGGTTCACTCCAAATACTCAACCACTCTTTTTTTTTTTTTTCCCTTACAAGGCAGGGCTACAAGGATCTCAGGGCTGGAGAGATAGCACAGTTGGTAGGTGTTTGTCTTGCCTGGCCGAGCCGGGTTTGATTCCTCCGCCCCTCTCGGAGAGCCTGGCAAGCTACCAAGTGTATCCCATGATTGAGCCTGGCAAGCTCCCCGTGGCGTCTTCGAGATGCCAAAACACAGTCACAACATGTCTCACAATGGAGACGTTACTGGAGCCCGCTTGAGCAAATCGATGAACAATGGGAGGACAGTGCTACAGTGCCACATGGGTCTCCGTTCCTAAAGGAGAGGAAGAAAGGAAGGGAGGAAGGAAGGAAGGAAAGAATGGAGGAAGGGAGGGAGAGAAGAAGGAAGGAAAATAAAAGGAATGAAGGGGAGAGGAAGGAAACGAAGGGGAAGGGATAAAGGGAGGAGGGAGAGAAGGAAGGTTAGAAGGTAGAAGGGAGGGAGGAAGGAAGGAAGGAAGGAAGGAAGGAAGGAAGGAAGGAAGGGGAAGGAAGAAGGGAGGAAGGAAGGAAGGGAGGAAGGCAGAGATGGAGGGAGAAAGGAAGGGAAAGAGAGATGAAGGAAAGGAAGGAAGGGGAAGAAAGAAAAAAGGAAGGAATCTAGGGAGGAAAGGGAGGAAGGAAGGAAAGAATGGAGGAAGGAAGAGAGAAGAAGGAAGGAGAGATAAAAGAAATGAAGGGGAGGGGTAGGAAAAGAAGAACGGGGGAGGGGATAAAGGGGAGGAGGGAGAGAAGGAAGAAAGATTAGAAGGTAGGAAGGAGGAAGGAAGGAAGGAAGGAAGGAAGGAAGGAAGGAAGGAAGGGAGGGAGGGAGGAAGGAAGAAAGGGAAGGAGGCAGGGATGGAGGGAGAAAGGAAGAGAGAGGGACGAAGGAAAGGAAGGAAGGGAAGAAAGAAAGAAAAAAGGAAGGAAGCTAGGGAGGAAAGGGAGGAAGGGATAAAGGAAGGAAAGAATGGCGGAAGAAAGAGAAAGAAGAACGAAGGAAAGATAAAAGGAATGAAGGGGAGGCGTAGGAAAAGAAGAATGGGGTAGGGATGAAGGGGAGGTGGGAGAGAAGGAAGAAAGATTAGAAGGTAGAAAGGAGGAAGGAAGGAAGGAATGAAGGAAGGAAGGAAGGAAGGGAGGGGAGGAATGAAGAAAGGGAAGGAGGCAGGGATGGAGGGAGAAAGGAAGAGAGAGAGGGACGAAGGAAAGGAAGGAAGGGAAGAAAGAAAGAAAGAAAAAAGGAAGGAAGCTAGGGAGGAAAGGGAGGAAGGGAGGAAGGAAGGAAAGAATGGCGGAAGGAAGAGAAAGAAGAACGAAGGAAAGATAAAAGGAATGAAGGGGGAGGCGTAGGAAAAGAAGAATGGGGTAGGGATGAAGGGAGGTGGGAGAGAAGGAAGAAAGATTAGAAGGTAGAAAGGAGGAAGGAAGGAAGGAAGGGAGGGACGGAGGGAGGGAGGGAGGGAGGGCAGGAAGGAAGAAAGGAAGGAAGGAAGGAAGGAAGGAAGGGAAAGGGAGGAAGAAAGTGAAAAGGAGGAAGAAAGTGAAAAGGAAGAAGGAAGGTAGGAAGGAAGGAAGGGAGGAAGGAAGGAAGGAAGGAAGGAAGGGAAGAAAGAAAGAAAGAAAAAAGGAAGGAAACTAAGGAGGAAAGGGAGAAAGCAAGGAAGGAAGAAAAGTCAGGATAAAGAAAGAAGGAAAGGAAGGGAGGAAACAAGGAATGAAGGAAGCGAGAAAGGGAGAGACAGGGGAGGAAGAAAAGGAAGGAAACCATTATATAGATATAATGGTTTTTTCTTATATATATATAAGAACAGCATTTATTTAATAAAATAAAGGATGCTCTTCCGGGAACATCGTGTAGCGGGCGGTGGAATGGAGGATGCTGAAACGTGGCCTCCTGCCTTCCCCTCAAGAACCCCTGGACCCCCGTTTACTTACTGCAAGCCCTTCTTCGTCTTTCTGAACGCCATGCAAGGTACCGTCCTCTGAGATCTTCTCCTGCTCTCCAACACGAGAAGAGATTTAGATTCAAAAACAAAAAAACAAAAATAAACTAGCAAAACTTTCCAGGATGCTGAGAGATAATCTAGAGGGTTGGAAGTTCCTGTCTTGCATGTGGCAGACCCTGTTCTATTCCTGGTCCCTGGAGCTTGCCAGGCGTGAGGGCGGAGCCAGGTATGCCCCCAAACCCCTCATAAACCGAGGGAACAAAAATCCTCCCGGGGGTCTGGAGCGATAGCACAGCGGGTAGGGCGTTTGCCTTGCACGCAGCCAACATGGCCAACCTGGGTTCGATTCCCAGCACCCCATATGGTCCCCCAAGCACCGCCAGCAGCAATTCCTGGGTGCATGAGCCAGGAGGAACTCCTGAGCATCGCCGGGTGTGACCCAAAAAGCAAAAAAAAAAAAAAAAATCCTTCCAGGGCTGGCGAGAGAGAAGACAGGGCTGAAGGCACACAGGCACATGCCTTGAGCCAGGCTGTTAGCGTGATTCAAGTCCCAGCACTGCACGGCCCCGCCTGCAAGCATCCTGCCTGCAGCTCAGGAACCTTCTGGAGCACGGCTGGGGTAACGGGAAGAGGAATTCTTGGTTGTGCGGTAGCTGAGCATTGAACGGCAGGGCTGGCAGTTGGAGAATCGCCAAAGTGGGCATCCCTCCTCGACGAACCCAAGAGGAACACAGTCAGGAAAGGCAGCCGCAGGCAGGAAACCTCTTTCCTGAGCTGAGTCAGGGATGGAGCCCAAGGCAGAAAGTCTGTTTTCTGAGCTGAGCTAGGAAAGGCAGCTGGAATTAGAGATTCTGTTCCCTGAGCTGAGCTAGGAAAGACAGCTGCAAGCCAGAAAGGAAGAAAGAAAGAAAGAAAGAAAGAAAGAAAGAAAGAAAGAAGGAAGGAAGGAAGGAAGGAAGGAAGGAAGGAA